TTCAGAAAAAAACATTATCAAAATAATTAGTAGACCCAAAGATAGGAACAAAAATAACCAATAACTACAAGAAAAAACTTTTTATTTTGGATAGTGTCAAGAAGGATTAGAACAACTGTCAGTTTTTATTACTGTCTGTACACTCGTTAGGAACATTCATCCTCTCTATTCATCCTGTTTACCATTATCATTGAAAGTAAATCCCAAACTTTGGGTTGTTCCACAACAGGAATAGAGGAGACATTTTCTAATGGTGGAACTAATTCCAGTGACCTTGGTGACAACCAGGGATCCCCTTACTTTGGAAGGATTTCCTCTCATTTCCTGTTGTGACTATGGGCCATGAAGTGAAGGCAAATCTCCCCCCTAAAGGGACACAGATGGCAAAAATGTTGGCAGGGGTGATAACCCTCCTTTACTCCATCTAACATGAAAAAAATTGGAAGGTTTGTGTCCCCGCAATGTGCTGTGGTTCCTTTCAATGATCCCTACATCACTCTTGTTTTCTATAGTGACGTGGGGGCTGGCAGATGTAACTATAGCATGCAGTAGGTTCTTAGGTATGTGAAGAGGCTGTTGTGTTACACTATTTGATCTATTATTATTTCTCACCATCACTTGTGTATTATTGTTCTGTGTCTTTAAGCTGTCTACTTCTGTCTAAGCTGAGCTCTCTCACCGTACTTGTGTATATCCCTCTCCCCTGCCTCTCTCTGGTAGTCATTCCACTGTATCCTGTCTTCCTGGATGCATCTTTCCATGAGGCTTACAACATTAACCACTTAATAACCGGGCTATAGCCGAATGATGACTACAGCGCGGTTGTCCAGTTCTGGGAGGGTGTCATATGTAGACCTCCCAGAACGCGTCCTCCCGCCCTCCCATCAGTGCCGCCCATCAGTGCAGCAGCATTAGTGCCAGCTCATCAGTGCCGCCTATCACTGCCCACCAGTGCTGCCTATCCGTGTCACCTCATCAGTGCCGCCTGTCTGTGCCACCGCATCAATGCACATCAGTGAAGGAGAAAAATTACCTGTTTGCAAAATGCTATAATAGAAACAAAGAAAAAAATTTCTCCTTTAAAATTTTTTGCCCCTTTGTTTATAGCGCAAAACATAAAATACCCAGTGGTGATTAAATACCACCAAAAAAAGCTTTATTTTATATACTGTTGCATGACCGTGCAATTTTCATTCAAAGCGCGACAGTGCTGAAAGCTAAAAATTGGCCTGGGCAGGAAGGGGTATAAGTGCCCAGTAGGCAAGTGGTTAACATTTTTCTACCTATGATTATCCTTCATTAAACTGAACATTCAAATGATTTTCCTCATCTGACTTCCTCAACATGTGAGTTTCTCCATTGAGTTAAACTGTCTGACTCGATGCAAGAGATAAATTCAACACCACATTGTACAGCTGTATACATCGCTGGAGATAAAGTTTATGGTCAAGTAGTTGAGTCAGAACAGAGGCTGTTTCAAAAAATGTACTGAAGGAACAGGCAGCAGGACAGGTAGAGCCTTCTTTTGTTTATCCTGCTTTGTACCAGTTTTTCTACTCGCTTTAACCACTACGATACAGGGTACTTTCACCCCCTTCCTGCCCAGGCCATTTTGCAGCTTTTAGAGCTGTCAAACTTTTAATAATTGCACAGTCATTCTACACTGTACCCAAATGAAATGTTTATCATTTGTTTCACACAAATAGAGCTTTTTTTTTTTTTGGTGGTATTTAATCACCACTGTTTTTTTTCTTTGCTAAATAAATAAAAAAAAAAAAAAACCTTTTTTTTTCTTCGTTTCTGTTACAGAATTTTGCAAATAAACAATCTTTCTTGATAAACTTAGGCCAAAATGTATTCTGCTACATTTTTTTGGTAAAAATAACCCAAATGAGTGTTTATTATTTAGTCTGTAAAAAAGTTATAGAGTCCACAAACTATGGTATATATCTGAAAATTGATCAATCCTGATGGTCTATCTCATTTCTTGGGTCCTGAAAATTTCAGGACAGTACAACTATTCCCCAAATGAACCCTTTCTGGAAAGCAGACAGTCCAAGGTATTTAGTATTCAGTGCGGTACAGCGTCATCATATTACTGGTGTGGCGGTAATCAAGGACACTGACTGGTGACATTATGAAAACATTTTTTAAAAAAATTATAACATAAATTTTTTTTACAAATTTTTTTTTTTCAACAAACTGACCAAAGCAATACAATGTTACCATAGGGGAAGTGATAAAGATTTTTTTTTTTTTTTAATTTATTTTTTACACATTATGATTGCTTACAGCAATGAACTCAACTCATCACATTCAGGATAGAAACATTTTAACCGCTAGTCATGGGAAATCGCAAAACACATTTTGCATTTTCCCACGGCCGTGGTCGGCGTAGGCTAGTGTACATGTAGCCTTATTATTTCTATTTTTCTTACAATACAGGAGTTTTTTATTCAAAAATTATAAAAGTACAAAAACAGTGCATATAGAAACAAAATCAAACAAAACTGTTGGACATGGTGAGCTCAGTACATCAAGGTATACAGTATGAATAAGTAAAAGATAATAATAATAATTGTCCAACCTAGGGCAGGATAAGCAACTAAATATTCATGGACACATAATGAGCAGGAAGGAGGGGAGAGGAGTAGGAGAAGGGAAGGGTCCCTCAGCACACTATCTAATGTCATAAAGCCTAAGGTACCTAAAGGAGTAATACACAAACTGTAACCCATTAGTTGGATGTCCAGGGAAGCCACACTTTTTCATACTTCAATGGACATCCTCTATTCATGTAAGTAAGCCTAAACATAGGAAGAGAGGCATCAATCAAGGCACCCCTGGATGACACCGTAGGAGACACAGCCAAGGTCCACTTTCCTTTTTGGCATAGCTTAGGAGCCATTTCAAGTGGTGGGACTGCTGTGCATCATCATAAAGTCCCAACAAGGACAAAGCTAGTGAGACAGGTAAGCCTTAGTATTTCTGGCTCTAAACGCTGAGCTTAAAATATTTCTCTAAACACCCTAATGTGCATGAACACATAGGATAACAATGAGCAGGCAAAATGCAAAACTCCTGTAGAAGCAGCATTTTTTTAAGCCAGTGCACATGGACCCTTAGTGTTCTTCCTGATCATTCTGACTGCATTTGAGTGCATTTCAGTTCTTGTGTTGTGATTTGCTGCACAAGGTGGAGGTGGAGTCTATTATGTCAGTATGGACACAGTGGTGGAATCCTCTTAAAGTCCATTCAGCCAGCTAACAGCACTGACCAGCTTTAGTGAGAACAAGGTGTACAAAGAGGAAGTAACCTGGACAAACAGTGCTGGGGAAAATCAAAATGAAGCTTGAATAGCAATCCTTACTAAGTCTGCAGATAAGTGTGCATGCTAGATTGTAGTGTGCTTAATGCAGCTGGAGGACCTGAAATTACAGAAGTGCGAGTTAGCTGTGCGACTGCTTTTTTCAAAATCCCTGATCAGATATTTAGGCATCCTCAACTTTCTTTCTGAACGTCTAAGAGAACTCTTCTGATCTTGGTATGGTGACACCACACGTCAATATTAAAGAGAACATCACACCTTGAGTATCTGAATTTTAAATAAGAGAGGTTCCACCTGTATACTCCCTAATGAAGTTGAAATCATTGGCACATAATCTCAAATGTCATATTCTAATTTCATGGATTTGAAGGGTTGATAAATGTAGGACAGTACTTACTTTTTCCATATGACAGATCAATGTTTTTGTTAATTTAGATCATGATCAAATTTAAACCATTCTATTTTCATATGTCATTTGTTCAAGTACAGTATATAACCTTTATCTGTAGATACTATTTGAATCAAGATTTAATGTTTGCAATGCAATGTTTGTTGAAACATGATGATAAAGTCAATAAACTCCAATGGGGTATACCACAGGAGGACACAGGACAGAGAGAGAGACAGCCATTGGCTCCTGCTGCTGTCAATCAAATCCTATGAGCAAAGAGTGGGCCTTGCTGTGCTGTGTGTGTCTATGGACGCATACAGTCTATCTCAGGAGACAGCCTGTATGTGCTCCCCATAGCAAGCAGCTTGCTTTGGCGGCACACTTATAAGAGGAGGAGCCTTGATCGCTGGCGGAGGAGCCCCAGAAATGGAGGTTAGGGGCTGTGTAATATCACTGCACAGAGCAGGTAAATATCACGTTTATTATTTTAGAAAGAAATTAGACTTTATAACTGCTACCTGAGCTGCAATACTTAAGACTTTGTAATACAAAGTCTGTATTCAACAGACAAAAAAAAAGGCATAAAAAAAAAGAACAGAATATAAAACAAAGTCACAAAAAATTTTACATTGAGAGTCAGACTGAAAATAAATTAGATTCTGCTCAGCCTCAGTGGTCTTTGTTTCTGCCCAGCAGCCTGCAGCCCTGATGATAGAACAAAATGAGAGCATATCCCCAAGAGATAAATGGCTATTCACCTCACTAGTGGCTCCTAACAAGGCTACAGCTTGAACCTGGAGGATCATAGGAAGCAGTACATTTATAATCATGTACATTGCGACACATCGTTCTGCCTATTTGTCCATTTAGGCTCTGTTCACACCTATGTAGTTTGCTTTCTGTACATTTTGCAGTGCTTTTCGCAGTTCGTTTTGCATTTTTCTACACGCATTTCTGACGAGTTTTACCATGTTTTGTTCAGCTCTTATTTTTTTTTTTGTTAACCATTTGCCTAAAGGGCACTTATACCCCCTTCCTCCCCAGGCCAGTTTTCAGCTTTCAGCGCTGTCACAGTTTGACTGACAATTGCATGGTCATACCCACTGTACCCATATGACTTTTTTATCCATTTTTTTTAGACAGATAGAGCATTCTTTTGGTGGTATTTAATCACCTCTTGGTTTTTTATTTTTTGCTAAAAAAAAACAAAAACTGAAAATTTTGAAAAAAAAAAGTTTTTTCTTTTGTAAATAAGTGATTTTTCTCCTTCACTGATCTGTGCTAATGAGGCTGCAGTGATGGGCACTGATAGGTGGCACTGATGGGCACTGATGAGGAGGCACTAGTAGGTGGCACTGATGGGCATTGACAGGCATCACTGATGGGCACTGAAAGGCAGCACTCATATATGGCACTGATAGGCAGCACTGACGAGCACTGATAGGCAGCACTGACTGGCACTGATAGGCAGCACTGATTGTCAGCACTGATAGGTGACACTGACTGGCATTGATAGCACTGACTGGCATTGATAGGTGGCACTGACTGGCACTGACAGGTGGCACTGATTGGCAGCACTGATAGGTGGCACTGACTTGCATTGATAGGTGGCACTGACTGGCACTGATAGGTGACACTGAAAGGCAGTTCAGATGGGCACTGATATGTGGCAATGATGTGCACTGGTACGCACTGATATGTGGCATTGATGGGCAATGACAGCAGGCATTGATGGGCACTGACAGATGGCACTGCTGGGGCTATACTGATCATCAGGGCACACTGATAATCAGTGCCCTGATGATCAGTGTAGATGTCCCCTACGAGGAATGCCGATTACCAGCTCTCCTCTCCTCTTGAGCTGTCAGCGTGACAGCTCGCGAGGATAGAAATGCAGATAACTTGCATTTCCCTATTTACATCTCATCAGCTGTGATTGGACACAGCTGATCACATGACCGAGCCGACATCTTCGGCTCTTTCCGTTGATTGGTGATCTGCCCTGTCCGAGGGACACAGCACACCACCGATCGCCGTGCTACGCGCTCCTGGAGCTGCGCGTGCGCGGTTAGAGTGGAAGGACATCATATGACGTCCTCCCAGAACGAGAGCAACGCCTTGCGCCCGTCATTACCTTATATGGCAGACGGGATGCGGTTAAAGCAGAATTTTTTTGTTGCTGGGCAGAATAAGAATGCAAAATGTGGCAAAAACGCACTACCATGCATCCCCTCCCTCCTAGATTGTAAGCTCCAAGGAGCAGGGCTCTCGAACCCCTCGTGTATTGCATTGTATTGTTACTGTACTGTCTCATGTACTGTCCCCCACTATAATGTACAGCGCTGAGCAAATCGTTGGCGCTATATAAATACTGTATAATAATAATAATACTTTCAGCAGTTTCTCCATTGAACTCTATTGTAGCAAAAACGCTGCTTTTTGCTTTTAAAAAAGTCCCTGACACTTTCCAAAAACGCAGAAGTTCAAAAAAGCATAGATGTGAACATGCCCCATAGGAAACAATGTTAAATGGACTGTAGCATTGGTGTTAATGGAGCCTATCACTGTACTCTTCTGTTTGCCCAACTTTGCAACACTACTATCACCAATTATTTTTTCATTTCTTTGTATCATAAAATTCACTGATCTAGTCTTTTTGTTTGCATTTCTCTAACTATATATACAGTATCTCACAGAAGTTAGTACACCTCTCACATTTTTATACAATATTTCTTTATATCTTTTCATGTGACACTTTGCTACAATGTAGTGTAGTGTAGTGAGTGTACAGCTTGCATACCAGTGTAAATTTGCTGTTCCCTCAAAATAGCTCAACACACAGCCATTAATGTCTAAACCGCTGGCAACAAAAGTGAGTACAAAATGTCCAAACTGGGCCCAAAGCGTAAATTTTTTGTGTGGCCACCATTATTTTCCAGCACTGCCTTAACCGTCTTGGGCATGGAGTTCACCAGAGCTTCACAGGTTGCCACTGGAGTCCTCTTCCACTCCTCCATGACGACATCACGGACCTTGTAGATGTTAGAGTCCTTGCGCTCCTCCACCTTCCATTTGAGCATGCCCCACAGATGCTTAATAGGGTTTAGGTCTAGAGACATACTTGGCCAGTCCATCACCTTTAACCTCAGCTTCTTTAGCAAGGCAGTGGTCGTCTTGGAGGTGTGTTTGAGGTCGTTATCATGTTGGAATACTGCCCTGCGTCCCAGTCTCCGAAGGGAGGGGATCATGCCTTGCTTCAGTATGTCACTGTACATGCTGGCATTCATGGTTACCTCAAATAACTGTAGCTCCCCAGTGCCGGCAGCAATCATGCAGCCCCAGACCATGACACTTCCACCACCATGCTTAACTGTAGGCAAGACACACTTGTCTTTGTACTCCTCACCTGGTTTCCGCCACACACGCTTGACACCATCTGAACCAAATAAGTTTATCTTGGTCTCATCAGACCACAGGACATAGTTCCAGTAATTCATGTCCTTAGTCTGCTTGTCTTCAGCAAACTGTTTGCGGGTTTTCTTGTGCATCATCTTTAGAAAAGGTTTCCTTCTGGGACAACAGCCATGCAGACCAATTTGATGCAGTGTGCAGCGTATGGTCTGAGCAGTGACAGGCTGATCCCCCACCCCTTCAACCTCTGCAGCAATGCTGGCAGCACTCATACATCTATTTCCCAAAGACAACCTCTGGATATGACGCTGAGCACGTGCACTCAACCTATTTGGTCGGCCATGATGAGGCCTCTTCTGAGTGGAATCTGTCCTGTTAAACCGCTGTATGGTCTTGGCCACCGTGCTGCAGTTCAGTTTCAGGGTCTTGGCAATCTTCTTATAGCCTAGGCCAGGGATTAAAATTTCGAGTCTAGACCTACTAGCCAGGCACAAACCTTACTTACTCTCCCCCAGTTGCCCCACCCAACCTTGCCCAGGTCTGCCTCCAACCCCACCCCCAGCCCACCCCAACCATGCACCCAGCCCCGCCCCCAACCACGCCCCCTTAAAGTTTATGACATTACATTTTTATTTAGAATAAAGAGTCCAAATATAAAAAAACTGCAATTATAACATAGCTTTATTATGCCAATTTAAACATAACAGCAATAGCTTAATAGCAATAGGGTGCAATCAATATATCAAGTTTTACAGCTTTAAACCTGTAGTAAACATTTTGTATTTTTTTGTTTATCTCCTGCATCTTTAAAAAGAGACTTAGTAACTAAAGTCGCTTTTAAAAGATGTAAGTTTAGTTATTGTTATTATTATTATACAGTATTTATATTGCGCCAACAGTTCGCTCAGCGCTGTACATTACAATGGGAGACAATACATGACACAGTACAGTAAGAATACAATGCGATACACGAGGGGTTCGAGGGCCCTGCTCCTTGGAGCTTACAATCTAGGAGGGAGGTTAATGTCATTTACCTTAAGCTGGCGGGTGTAGTGATGTGCACCGTTGGCGGTTCTCTCCTTCATGTGTCCCCCACGCCGGTGTAGAGCGGGCCTCTCCTCGTGTCCCCCAAGGCGGTGTAGAGCAGGCTTCTCCTCGTGTCCCCGAAGGCAGTGTAGAGCGGGCCTCGTGTCCCCCAAGGCGGTGTACAGCGGGCCTCGTGTCCCCCAAGGCGGTGGAGAGTGGGCCTCGTGTCCACCAAGGAGGTGGAGAGCAGGCCTCATGTCCCCCCGTGGCGGTGGAGAGCGTGCCTCTCCTCGAGTCCCCCCGCGGCGGTGGAGAGTGGGTGTCTCCTCTCAGGGGAGGAAAGCAGACCTCTCCTGCACCTGTCCCCCCAGCGACGCTGTCAGTGTAATGGCGGTGCCGAAGAAGCCGGAAGTCAGAAACCGGAACTCGGCTTCACAATGAGTCTCGGAGTGCAGGTGGATCAGCTCCATTTGTGCTCACAACATAAGGATTTTCCCTCGCATTTGGCGAGCGGCTTTTTAAAGCTCTGGCCTAGGCCATCTATATGTAGAGCAACAATTCTTTTTTTCAGATCCTCAGAGAGTTCTTTGCCATGAGGTCCCATGTTGACCAGTATGAGAGAGATAACAACAAATTTAACACACCTGCTCCCCATTCACACCTGAGACCTTGTAACACTAATGAGTCACATGACACCAGGGAAGGAAAATGGCTATTTGGTCCCAATTTGGTCATTTTCACTTAGGGGTGTACTCAATTTTGTTGCCAGTATTGTAGACATTACTGGCTGTGTGTTGAGTTATTTTGAGGGGACAGCAAATTTACACTGTTATACAAGGTGTACACCCACTACTTTACATTGTAGCAAAGTGCAATTTCTTCAGTGTTATCACATGAAAAGATATAATAAAATATTTACAAAAATGTGAAGGGTGAACTCACTTCTGGGAGATATGGAGTGTATATATATATATATATATATATATATATATATATATATATATACACACACACAGTGCATAGCATGAATGTGTACACCCCAACAGATTTGTCAGAAAACCTTTACTTTTCTTTCAGAATCAACATTTTCTATGGGACACTATACTACAAGATATACCCATAAATACGGGCCATTGATTTCAAACAAGATTTGTTAATTTGCACACACAAAAACGTTTTTTTCCTAACAAATTCATTCAAGACCATGTTGCAAAGATAAATACACCCCAATAAATGTCTTAGGAGCAAAGCTAAATTTTAGACAATAAAATCCTAATTAACAGGACTTCAACTACAGGTGAGTCTAATTATTCATTAAACAGTTGTCCAGCAGACAGTTGATTATAAAAGGGTGTTACTTAACCGCTTGGGGACAGCCCATAGTACTTTTACTGCTGCAGGGAGGCCCCTATGCGCAGGATCATATATAAAATATATATATTTATTCTCATACGCACTGCAGTATCACTTGGTGACATGGTGAGTCCTATAAGTGCAGTACAAGCTGGTGCGGTGGCGAGCACAAGTAGTGTCCCGCATCCACCAAGAATTCGCACACAGGCCCGTAGAGCCCATAGTATCCTTCTGGATGTTCTTGCAAATCCCGATTGGCAGCCCACAAATTCTGCAGCACCTGTACTTCCCCCATTCACTGCCCAACCCGGAATTCAGGTGGAAACAGCAAATTTAGCTACTCCCTTTGATTTTTTAGAGCTGTTTTTCTCAAAGATTTCGATTCATTGATTGTGGATCAAAGCAATTTATATGCACAACAATTTATCGCCGCCAACCCAAATTCAAACCTTGTCAGACCATTTGCATGGAAACCCATTGCGGTTTCTGAGTTTACTTCTTTTGGGGTCTAACCCTCAACGTGGGCATTACTAAAAAAAAATGAATTGCGGTTGTATTGGTCCACAGACTGATTCATCATATGCCCATGTTCTCTGCTGCCATGGACAGAGTATAATGTGTTTTATGCATTTCAATGACAATACACTCTGTCGTCCTTGGGGTGACCCTGAATTTGACCGCCTCCACAAAATTTGGCCCCTCAAAAATCACCTTAACCAAAAATTTGCAGATGTCTATACTCCCCAGCAAAAAATCTGCATTGATGAGTCCCTTATTAATTTTTCTGGCTGCTTTGCATTCAAACAATTCCTCCCCAGCAAGTGTGCCAGATATGGGGTCAAGATGTATAAGACATGTGAGAAGGCAACAGACTATACTATAAGTTTCGGATTTATGAGGGAAAAGATAGTCACAGGGAGCCCCCCGGATGTCCAGACTACATGGGGAATAGTGGCAAGATAGTTTGGGACTTGGTGTCATCCTTTTTCTATATGGGGTACC